GAGTTTGGGTCTCAGAATTTTAAGAGAAAATGCTGTGTGATCTTGGAGTTTGAGTTACATAACACAAGTCTTGAAATGCAGACAGCTATAGCAAACCCTTAGGAACTGTGATGCAATAAGGAATGATTACTAACTCCAAAGAAAAAGGGGAGATCATCTTGTTATTATATTGATTTTGCATTTTTGTCCTTCAAGCCCATGAAATGACCCTTTGTTGTTGCTTTAAGTCATATGGGCCATGGTACTTCATTCTAAAAGAATAGTAATATAGTACCAATTATTTTAGTTATATAGGCTTAAAAGCTCCCTTGTTGTACCATAATTCTAATTTTTGGTTGTGAGCCTAGCCTTTAGCAGCTGAACAATTTCTCTGACCCTTGTACCATTATTATTATTATTATTATTATTATTATTAGTAGTAGTAGTAGTAGTAGTAGTAGTAGTAGTAGTAGTAGTAGCAGCAGCAGCAGCAGCAGCAGCAGCAGAATTAGTAGCAGTAGTAGTACTATTAACAGGGTTTCATCGCATTATAGCCCTGGCTCTCCTGGAACTCTCTTTTTACATTTTGCCTCAAACCCAAAGAGATCTTCCTGTCTCTTCCTCTCGTGCAGGTATGGAAGGCATGTGCCACCAACCCAACCTATTTATTCTAAAATGACAGATTTACCAAGTATACAATTCTATTTACTATTGTACTTATGCTTATGAAGTCATAATCCTGTCTTCTGACTTCCTGTGTTAATTGATATAATTTGGTCTACTTATCTGTACATCAAAGAAGTCCATTTTTTCATCTATGTTTAAAACCCTAATAATAAACTGTAATCCTATTGATCAAGAATTTGCTATATTACTGTGTCTCCTAGTAATATTAGAAGCTGCATCCATCAAGTATCACCACCAGGATTGCCTAAAAATGAGTGGAACAAAGACAACAATAAACTGCTGATGTGGACAGGGGAAAGCCCACCAGACTGTGCTACATTGTTCAGTGCCACTCTGATGTAGCAGCATTTGAGTCTTTTCCCATTATTTTATTAGAATTTTTAGCCTTTAAAAGTTAGGATTCATGTTTACATCAGTTCTGAGACTACACATCAAGAATGCTCACTGTCTTTCCATGTTGCATATTTTGGGATTTCAATGAAGTCTATTTCATTTTTTCTTCTTCATCTTCTGCACCTATTCACATAGTTCTTATTTCTTAGTCACTTTTGGACTGTTCTTTTCTTAATTCCTTAACTGTACTTCTGGGGCAAATTTTCTTCTTTTGTCTCTGTCTAACTTCTTTTTTTTAACACATCTAATAACTTTCTATTTTAAATATTGTATTTTATTCTAGAAGATTTGTATATTTTATTTTCAATCTGCTTCATAAATTTTTTGTCTCTTAGCTATTTTGACACAATCTAGTTACTTATATCTATTGAAACTTTTATCTAAATGTTATGTATCTGTTTCATAATAATTACTGTTCATTCAATTGATTATCACACATTGATTGCTTTTTTTATATCAGGTCCTGGTCAAATAACTTCAAAACTACAAATGAATAAAAAATAGAAAATAAAATTCTATGTCTTTATGGAATTAATAGTCTAATAAAAAAACCAGGAAGGAGAAACCATCTAAAGTTCCGAGGCTTGAGTGGGATTGTAATTTTTGATAAATTTATGTGACATATCTTATGGAGGGAGATGAGAGCCTCATTAGTGAAATAAGAGAAGAGAGGACAAGATGACAGGCTAAGGGAAAGAGTCGGTAAAGGGTCTTGTTAAGTATTTCAGAAACAGGAATCCAGTATGACCATGTGTGGGAAGCAAGTAGGAAGAGAATTAGAAACATAAGGAATCCTGCAAAAAGTATTAGGCATGGAGGAGCAGAGGGAATAAGCCTACTGCAACAGTAGAGGTCAATGAACAATAGACAGGGAAGGAGAGAGAGACAGACAGACAGAAAGAGAGAAATGAAAAGAAAGATTCTTAGATATTCTTACAGTTCTTAAACAGTTTTTCTCAATATGGGCAATGTCAGGCAAAAAAGTAAAGAACCGTTATTTTTGTTTTACTTTTAAACTTAAATATGTGAGAATAATTTTAAAATTATAATAATCTGAATCATACGTATATGATGTCAGTGCTGACCCCTGGTATTGATTAACTAATTGAAGGGTTCTTTCCAAAGGAAGACTATTTTTCCCATTACATCCCTTATTAGTCTATGGTTTTTTGAATTTGGGTGGGGCCCCACTTCCATGTTAGTATGTATTTTGGTGGTTTATTGCCTCAGGTTTTATTTAGAAAACCATACTGTTGAGATATTATAGGTGAAGCTTCCCTGACATTTTAGGAGATGCAGATAATGTACCGATCCTCTGGATCTTATAGTACTTCTGCCTTTTCTTCCATGATTTTCCTTGGACCTTAAGTGCAAGGGCTGTGTTGTACATACATCAGTTGGAGCTGGGCATGATACAGTCATCACATTATCTCCAATTTAATCAGTTACCTTTTCTATATTGATTTTCATCTGTAGCAAAGAGAAGTTTCGCAAAGGGGTGTTACAGTTATCTATGAGTATATGAATAAATATTTAGTATGTAGTTAAAAGTTGTGCTGTATTTTTTTGTGATAAAGACAGAAAGAAGAAAAGGAAGATGGAGAAATAGATGACAGAGGAGAAAAATTGCTGGATCACCTTGAGTGAGTAAAAAAGGAAGACATTTGTGTTTTCTTCCACAAAAGGCTATCTTAAGATTGACAGGACAGGTTCACCCAAGGCAAAGGGAATAATTTCAATGGGCAAAGCTCTGCAGAAGTATGAAACTGTGGATCTCAGGGGCTCCATTCTAATTGTACCAAATCAGTTTAAAGTTAGTGAGTTCAATGTCAGTAAGACTTAAAATAAACAGAAAATAATGAATGTAAAGCAAAATCGAGGAGTGTGGTGGTTTGAAAGAAAATGGCCCCAAAGGGAACAGCACAATTAGAAGGTGTCACTTTGTTGGAGTGAATATGGCCTTTTTAGAGGAAGTGTGTCACTGCAGGGGCAGAATTGAGGTTTCCTATGCTCATGATATGGCCCAGCATCTCAGTGAACTTCCTGTTTGCAAGATATAGGACCCTCAGTTATTACTCCATGATGATAATCGACTGAATGTCTGAGACTGTCAATGAAACACTCCAGTTAAATGTTTTCCCTTTATCAGAGTGAAGATTTTCTATGGACATGGTGTCTCTTCATAGCAATAAAAGCCCTAACTAAGATAAGAACAAACATCCTCATCTATAAGACAGGAAGGCTATTGTAAAGAAAAACAGAAAATAAAATGTTCCATTATTTTTCCTGTAAAGATTATTATTTCTGTTTTCTTTAAGGTGAAATAGAATTCCATTCATATGTATTATACTGAGTGAGGTAATTCAGACACCTTATGACAAATGCTGCCCATTCTTTTGTATTTGAGGTCCTACTGCTAAAGACAACATATACTTCAGACACAGAACTTGGAAGAATAGAGCTAGACCTCACCTAGAACTCCTCCCTGAGGATTAGCTCTTATAATATCTGAAAGTTCTTTACAAGCTGCCAAGAGAGATAAAAACAGTCAATAGCCCTACCCAGCTGTAAAGGACAGTAACCACAAAATAACCTACATGACAAGTTATGCCCAAGGTGTAGCAACAGGCACTCATATCTTGACTATAACCAACAATTGTCTAATTAGACCAAAGCTCCACACAGTAGAATGGAATTCATGCCTGATACGATAAATCCAGTCAACTTCCCATGGTTCCTAAGACATGGGCCTTAGAGCAGAACCTAACAACTGCCACTTGCCTAAACCAGTATAATTTCAAATTGCAGTCTAAATACTTATAGACAGAGATAATTATAACATTGCTATTCATCAAAGAATTTTTATAACAAATAGAGACTATTACATCACATAAATCTGTATCCCATCAAAATTCAAAGAATAACTAACAAGGCAGTTTTCAGTACAGTCTATAACACAATCCCTATACCTAAGCTTAAGGAGCATGATGGAATAACAGATAGAAAGAGTGTAATAGCTAGAGTATTAGAACATCTTTTGCAAGATGGTATCTTCAGGGAAGGTACAACCATAAAACTTCAATACTCTGGTCACCTAAGCAAGACATTCACAGTGACACTGCCACAAGCTGATATGACAGTATGAATAGTGAAAATCTTAGAAAGCCTTACTTCTAGACAAAGAACTATAGAAAGATTAATGGTTGCTTAAAAGGGGGCAATCAGTCTTCTTTAGAAAAAAGCCATTTGATAGGTTAGCAATACTGAACGGTCATCCCTAACCATATGTATATATAAGCAAAAACAAATTGATTCAGCAGATGTATACGTACATGTATGTGTATATATGCATAAATATGTGCCTATGTATATAAATATCTGCATATGTGTTTTTATATAATTAATAATTAAAAAGAAGAGGTCATGAATTTGAGAGGAGCACATAAGGAGACAAAAAGATGAAAATTGTTTTACATAGTACACACACAAAAAAATTCTCAAAAAATTAAAATTTAAATCAAAAACAAAAATCACGAGCAGCTACATGAGATTACTGTTTGGAAGAAATATCCTCACTGTGGATAGTGGAGCAGTATATTGGAGAAAAATATCTGTAACTGAACCAAACTTACTAATGATGGCTAGTGCATTCCTAAGCGGACAGAACTGAAGCAGAATAGGATGGAGGCAGTGCTCAATTGCAAAACATCCTGGGGCTATCAACTAGACACAAGAAGCAGGAAAACTAGGTCATCTCAGAGTTAGACTAATGATGCAGGCTGGACTGTGGAAGTAGATCAGTTCTATCTCTTTAAGGTTCCAGTGGTGAGGCCCTACATACAGTTAAAGGACGCTCTTTCACTTCTGGTGACATCTCCTAAAGAAATCAGGTATGAATTGTGTGCAGTGGTGTCACACATCTCTCTTTCCAACGCTCAGAAGGCACACACAGGCAGATGAATCTGAGTTCAAGGCCAGCCTGTTCTACACAGTGAGTTCTAAGACAACCAGGGCCACACAGAGAAATCCTGTCTCAGCAACCCTCCCCTCCATAGAAACAAAACAAAACAACCAGGTATGTTATTTTGGGGAGTAAGTAGGGAGGAAAGTCATGACCGCACTAGATAGTATCCGGAAGTTCAGAGGAGCCCTCACTTTAACCTGTCAGTGAAGAGAAAGTTGACATTGTTGGTTGAAATTTTATTTTTCCATCTCATTAATGTTTTTTTTGGTTTGTTTGTTTTGTTTTTAATTAAGAACGCATCTTAGTTGAAATTTTCTTTGCAGGATTTATTTTGGATTTTATTTAAAATGTATTCTTCTGAAGAGAAACATCTTGTACATCTACTGATTATTTAATTGCAGCAGCAAGCAAGAAGTAGTGAGTAGGATATGGTTCTTAATCCTGCTAGAAACCTCCACAGGAGCAAATGTGCATTTTTTTTTTCTGCTTGCTTTTTCAAGGCTAAAAGAAGTGATACTCAGATAAGAAGATCTCTCTACATTATGCTCTGCATTGAATTTTGGAGAAATTTTCACGGTCGACTGTGATGAACACTGCACTGTCACCATACTCAGGTATTGGGGTCTGTGTGCTATCTCCCTTTAGTGGCTTCTTAAACATAGGACTTGGGTTATCTATGGAATGGACAAATTTCACCTGATCAAACAGCCAATCCACTACTCTATGCATGAGATGGGGATTTTGATTTTATTCCATTCCTGACCTCCAATGAAATCACCTCTATACCAGCTCAGCTGTTCATTTAATTTTCAATATACTCTTTTATTTTTTTAGAAATTTTATGACGTTGCACCTGAAGGTATCATTAGTCTAAACATTTAATTTGGCATATTTCCAGAAACACAAATCCCATTTGTGTTGTTACAATATCCTTCAGTCAATAAAACATAATATAATCTAACAAAGAAATTCATGGCCATCCCACAAGAGCTTAGTTAAGGACGTATTGAAAATATAAATGATATTTGTACCATCTTTTTCAATTTCATTCACAGAGATAATTGCTATTTTGAATATATTTTGTAGTTTCCATGTGTTTTCCAACGTTTGCACTATGTAAGGATATCTTTTCACAATATATTAGCATAACAAACATGTTTAAAATTTATATGAAAATTATAGGGATGCTATAAGTGTGTACTTTCTAAACTCAGTGTTCTGTTTTCATGCAATTCTTTAATTCTTCATATGGATGAGTATTCCCTTAAGAGTTCAATTTCACAGCTTATCCATTTTCTCATAGAGGACAGTTATGTCTCTAAACTTTTCCTATTATGAACAATACTGCAGTAAAATTTTATGGATGTCTGTGAGCTTGTTGATATTTTTCTAGTACATGCCTAAAATGGGATTTTATGTGCACGTATGGTTTTACTAGAATAATCCAAGTTTCTTTCTAAGTTGATCCAACATGTTTTCTCAGCACTTTCTTGGAAGTTTGCTTGAAATTCAGGTTTTTCTGCCCGTGAAGTATTATTTTAATACTATTTTAGATATTCCTCTATTTAAATTTATATTTCATATTTTAATATACCTTATCTGACCTTTTGAAAATATAGTTCACATTTTTATTATATGAATTGTTGAGTTGTTTTCTAATATCAATAGAAGCAGTTGATACTGTTTCCTAGTCAATTTTTTAGCTCGTTGTAAATGGTGATCTGTCATGATTGAGCTTTGTTCATACTTTCATTGTTACACAGGGTTGAAAGCTTATGTTTGTATTCATTTGGAACACTTCTTCATATATAATGAGAACCAATATTCTGAACAAAAGGACTCAAAGAATGTAGACCAAGTTATACAAAAAAGGCAACTAGTACTGTCAAATTAGTTGGAAATAAAAATTATCTAGATACAAACATGGAAAATAAGATACCTTTTAATTTCCATTTGATTTTAACACACTGTTTTTGTACAAATTGCTAAACTTGTTTTGTTTGGAATCTATAGGCTTAATAGAAAAAGTACAGACAAATAGATAGAAAAAAAAACCCTACCTAACCATATCATCACTAATGGATTTTCAAATGAAATATACTTAACCTCGAGGATCAGTATTATCAATATTTTCTTTATGACAGACAACAATTACAAATATCACACTGAGGTTAAATAAATATATTATGAGTAAAAACAATCTTTCCATAACACTCTGTAATCTTTGGTTCATTTATGATATTTTTGCTTCTCAGCTTTTAAACTTTTAAACACATATTTGAAATTTTGCACAAAGGGATTTTTATGGCTGAGTTAGTAAAAGGATTTATTTGCAGATGTGAACTGAAAGTGAAAACTACTCCCTGTCATTATTGATTCTTGCAGTTTTGCAGCCCCAAGTAATTAGCCCTTGCATAGTGCTGAAATCCCCTTTGATTTAAATATCAAATTAAAAAGGGGACAAATGTGTTGCTATATACCGCTATGCCATAGTCAGTGTTGTGTGATGTATTTCACTATCACTGATCAGAGATTTAAGCTCATTTCTAGAGGTTAATTATAAATTTTACACCTATAGTTAAAGTGTCAAAATCTGCCTTTTTCAGTCTTGAAGAAAATGAGTCTTTTTCCCAAGGGTACATTGGTCAGCTTGTCACTACAAAGAATGCTTTTCTTCCTACACCCTACAAAAGTGGAAGGAAAAATTAAAAAAAATATATGAGAAATGAAATTTTAGGTATATGATCTCTATGACTCTTATCACCATATTAATTTTCTCTCATGATAATTTGAATAAAAGTATAGAGGAATATGTTGGTTAAGATAGGAAGTATTTAAGAAACTATAATCAATGAACCATCTCTTGTTTCCAATTTATACAGTTTTCCCTATGCATGGTAGGCTATGAAAAATAATACACATATGTGATTTCTCTGTTAATATAAAAGTTATATAGAGAAATAATTTATGAAGCAACAGAAGAATTGATTTAATAAGAGTTTAAAACGTAATATCGTGAATGTCACAGTTAAAAGTATTATATAATCTAACTTGCAGGTAGAATCTGTGTTAATCAAATTCATAGAAGAAGAAAGTTGAAATATATGTATTGGTGATTTAAGTAGAGGTTGGGAATATAGGTCAGGTATGTGAAATTTGAATTAGGGAATAAAACCAGGCAAAACATTATACCTACAGCCAATGCCAGCGTATTGTGTATCTGGAAATCACTAGAAGATTAAATTTAAAAGTTTCTACTAAACACAAAATTAATAAGTGTTTGATATAATGCATGTTAGTAGGTTTTCCTTTATTCATTCTTAATTTTTTACATGCAATTTAAAAAATACTGTGTCGCTCACATAAATACAGGTTTCATTTATCAGTTTGGTGGTATCATGAATTCAATACCTTATCCAAGCCTGAATAGAACATTTTTAGTGCCTATAGACAAATCTAACTAGGTACTAATAATTTATTAATGTGAATGACATTAATTGTATCATAATTGTATCATTTCATGCATTTCTAGAGGCCCCCTGTTGGGGAACATATCTTTAAAATGAAGCAGAAAGTTTTAAACTAATAAAGCTCAATATTTTTGCTAAATACTTAATAATAGTCTTCTGAATATGGAACTTTGTTTCCATTTTAATATCAAATCCCAGAGTAACATATTTATCTATATTGCTTGTGACTTACTATGTAAATTGTCCAAGAAAAAAGTATATATACTAATAAGATATACAAACTAATGTTGTGCTAAGATAAGAAATTGCATTAAAAATGGGACAATAATTGTTTTTATACTCTAAAAATAATTATTAACTATATTTTATAAGAAACACTGCTATAGGTTATATTCTGACAAGAATTCTGTTTATTTTCAAATTAATCTTAAAAGGAAATATATATAGTATATGTGGAAAATATATAAAAATTTAATATAGACATTTAACATTATAAAAACCAATATCTATTTACTAAAATTTTATTTTTTATTTAAAAATGAAAATAATTACATTATTTATTAAAATACAAAAAATAATATTTCCATATTTTTAAATGCTGGAATGCCATTTTAGTCTTTAAATTTTTTCCAAATGCAAGACCCTTAAAAAGTAAAGCAATTTGACAGCTATATTTACCTTATCTTATTAACTTAAAAATTTAAAGCTAACTCTCATGCTATTCAGAGATAACGTAAAATCTTCCAACAGAGAAAATCATTAAGTCATCCTACGCAGTTCTAATACCTAAGAATCTACCTAAGTACCCATGGGTAGTGAAGCCATGGACCCTAAAAGACAACCTACTACTTTCACTATTAGACTAATATACTTTTAAACTACATTCTAGTTACTTATATTTATACATACAGATACGTATCTCCCTCTTCTCTCATCAACAACACAGATGATTGTAGAAATCCACAATCAATTTGTCTACATGTAGAAAACACAAGTGTATAAGAGCCTAACCTCCAATGATTGTCTATCATACAACCCCTGTCCCTAAGGCTCAGAGAACAACATGGGAGAGGTTTCAGAAAGAATCAGAAGACCAGGGCATCAACTATGTTCTAAGGACTTATATATGACAGGGAAATAGAACCTAATGTAGACACCTAAACAGACCTTCGCAAAGACGATACCAGTTAACATGCTAGTGTGGATTGGGGAAATCTCATGTCTTTCCCTAGAGGAAGAACTAGAGACAAAAAGATTCCCAAGACAAAATAGTTCTTTTTTTTTTTAATTTATTTATTTATTAAAGATTTCTGCCACCTCCCCACCACCGCCTCCCATTTCCCTCCCCCTCCCACGATCAAGTCTGACAAAACAGTTCTTTTCCTGCACCAAGATAGCAGAAAGGCTGTCAGTCACAAGTGGTAAGCCCTACACATACACATGGGCATCACTAAACTCAGTGTGTGTGTGTCTGTATGTGTGTGTTTGTAGCCATAATTAAACAGGAAGATATCAAGGGAGGAGGAGTTTGAAGAGATGTGGAAATAGTTGGAGGAGGAAGAAGGAGGGGTGAGTTTGGCATGTATCCATGAGAAATTCTCAAAAAAATTAAATTAAAATAAATTCCTATCATAATCCTGCTACCCAGAATATTTCAATATCATATTACATATATGATAAATATCCAATATATGTTATGTATAAAAATTAAAATTCATACATAAATAAACAAATGATAATTATAAATCAAAGGCACCTTTATGTTACATGAACCCACTGTTTGGAAAGCTCACTGTGAGTCCATATTTTGGCTATCATGTGTGATTTCTGTCTTCTTCAACCAGTTCTTCACAAGTCCATGGGAAGCAAATATCCTAGAGAATCCCAGGAAAATTAGACAGTTTTCCTCTGTCAAATTCCAGATGAATCATTTCCCATAGCTGCGACACCCTGGGAGAGCACTAAAGATTGAGAGCTCCTGTGCTTCTTGAATGCACCCAGAGAGCATGGTGCCCCAGCCCACAGCCCCTGCAATGGCCACTGCGTCCCGGATATATAACACTCTAAGGTTCTTCATGCTCACAAAGTCCTTTCAGAAAAAAAGAGAGCCCATTTCCTAACCTGTGTTATGCCATAGAACATAG